GTACAGTATTTTTTTCGGGGGGTGGGCATGTGTGAAGAGGAATAGAGACACATGCTGATGTAAAGTTTCAATTGTTGTCAGTTTCATCTGGATGTGGATCGAGTTTTGCCAAAGAGTGGATGGATACAAGAATACAGACATGATGTGTTATGAAGAGACGTTGTCTTTCACACCTTTTGAAAGTGCAATGCAGTGCTGATTCCCACACATTACTTGAGAGATCCGGTGGTCACACAGCCTCTTGACCAACCTGGGGTGGGGGACAAACAGGAAGATGATTATTAACCAAACTATAGAAAACCAGGAAGGAGCTACTTACAGTATGCTAAATAATAATAACCAAATATGCACAGAAATGCAAATGTTTATTTATTTGACCTACTTACATTTGTATTCAATTGTTTTAATATTAGATGATTACATTTATTTCATTTTTTCTGTTATTTCTATTTAATGTCATGATTTATTGTATTTTCTTTTTACTAACTTGTGTATTTCTTTTTATAATAATAATTGCTTTACTCCTTCATAACTCATTGCTTACTGTACAAAACAACTATTTATATTAAAACCTTGGTCTAAATATCAGTTATCAGAAGATTTCATGTTGTGACCAGGATAGTCCGGGGTTCAGGGGTTTAAGCTTATTGGCTTAACTAAAGTCTTTTTTTAAATGTATGAACATTCATAGTAGTCAAGTCTCTGAGCTAAACTGTAAGAAATTACTTATTTATTATTCCACCACAGGGGGTTTACTGCATCTGAACAGTTTAATGAATAAAATATTATTCTCTTTAAACCTTCTTATTGCTTTGGAGCAGATATGGGTCCCTGCTACAAACGTAACTCATTTACAAAGCTCATATCCAAACCACCAATTATTACAACATATTTTTTATTTTCAGCCAAAAGTCTACATTTTTTGTTTCTGTGCTACTCAGTCACCTTGGGATTCGAACAGCCACCTCTGAGGTCCCCAGGCCGAGCTGGCCCTCTTCACCGGCCCCCCACGCAAACACTTGCCCCTGCTCGTTCACCGCCATCGAATGAGCGCGACCACACGACACCATCCTTATGGTCTGAGTGTCGAGCGCCGCTACAAGCTCTGTGGAGAGGAGGGAAAAAAACAAGTATGTTAAGTATGGAGGTTTTCAAGATACTATCTCGTTGCATACACGAAGGCCTGGGTATAAGTTTTGTTACTGACAAAAACTACTTTTCCTTTCAGTTAGCAAGCTAAATAATCCAAATGGGTTTTTTTTATTCATGATGTTGTAGTAGAGAGCATTTATTATGACTTCATGGACCCAACCCATCTCAGGCATTTAGCGTGGGCATCTAATCTTTTAGACAGCTCTAACTTAATGAGGCATTAAAGGCATTTGCTGTAAGTCATAACAAAAAGCACCTGATATTCAGAAGCCCAGATCTTATGATATTAAACTATGCCTCTATGCTGAGGCTGTGTGCTATCAAAGTAGGCTTGTCACATCATAGACCCAGCAGGAATCACGTGAGGAGGACAGACTGTGGTGCAGATAATGTGGAGTTGGTGTACTGGTTTCATACAGTATGTGGTTTCCTGCTATAGAAATCAGATCCTGTGGTTTCAATAGAGTGCCCTATCGATCATAAATCTATCGATTAGATTTATGATTCGTAAATTATAAAAGTAGGGTAGACATGTGGAGATGATTAACGGATCTCTTAAATGTGTGTCAACCACAGACCTTATTTCGAGCTATTTTCCAAAATCCTATGGAGAAATTGGATTGCGTTTTTGTCGAAGGAACCCATGCGCAGCTTACTTCCGGGTTTTAGGATGCGTCACTGTGGCACTCTATAGAGACTATACTAGAGTATGACTTAAAATAATCGACAACTAACTAATTACAGGATGCTTCATAATTTACAAATGGTCTTTACCTAAATAAATCCTATGTGAATCATCAACATCTGTACCAATTACCAAATGTTAAGGCAATCATTGCATCCAGTTGATGTCAAAATATTTGACTTGGAAAGTGGTGAACTGACCAAGAGTCGGCGTTGCCCTCCGTAGAGACAGGCACTGCCAATACAAACAGCTTTTGTAAACATGCCATGTCATCTTCACCCACATTCTCACACCTGTTTGGTAACTTTCCACTCTGACCAAGGGAAAGTGGTGCAGCATGGTGGTGCAACCGCTTACACTGTGTAATGATTAATCAAAAGGTCAGTGAATCAGCATTTCAGCTTACCTGGAGAAGTCCCTGGTTTGTCTTGGCCCAGCTGTCCACAGCTGTTAGAACCACATGTGTACACACTGCCATCTTGCAGCAGGAATATAGAGTGTTGGCCTCCACACGCTACATCTTTCAGTCCCCTGCCATTGAACACTTGGCAGTATCTTGGCTCAAATAGGAGGTTCCTCTCCAAACCTATTCCCAACTGTCCATCCTTTGCATTGCCCCAACAGAGCATGTTGTCGAGGGGAGAGGGCGATAAGTACCGATCTGAAGAGGCAGAGAGTGATGGCCAGATGGAGGAAGACAAAACGATGTTCAGGCTTGACAGCAGCCCCGCTTTCTCCGCTTCATGTAAAGTCCAACCCTGGAAGAAGCAAGAAACAGGGTAAATATCACGTTATATTTCTTCATTAGGAACACTTTCTGATTACCGTGCTCCATGTGAAGCCCTGATGCTTTTTTAACATTAAAGTATGGGTTTAAAGGTGAACATGGATGAAATGTGTGAGAATGGTGTAAGCATTCTGAAGAAGAACAGGACAGTGTGTTTAAATAAACCTTGTCGGTGTAATCCCGGCTTAAGAAGCTACAACAGTCCCTGCTTTACTGTCAATCCGCATGCAACACATGCATGTCACTCACTGAGTTAGACATGGGTAATACATAAATGGGAATAGAACATAAGTTAAAAACAACATGACATAGATCAGATGTCAAACTACAGCTCTGGCATTGTGATGGCCCTTTTATGTTATCCCTTTAAATGGACTGGGATATAACCATAGACTGTATAGGACATAATTAGTTGCAATAAGATAACTAATGTTAGTCATGTGAAAATAATATATGCGATGACATTAATGAAATGCAGCATTATATAGCCTACACTAAAAGATTATTCTGGGAGATACATACAATTAAAGCACTTAATGCATAACAGAGATGATTATGTTTGTGACAAGTAAGTGTATAAAGCATTTGATATGTAGGAGTCAATGTTGAATAGCAGCAGTTGTCGATTATTATAAGCAATCATTTAGCTTATTGTGGATCCCTGACTATAGCTTAATCATATTTAGTGTTACGTTAGCTTGCTGCTGGTGATACATTAAGGGGAGTGGCCTGCATTGTGCAGACATTATCAACACTAACTCACTGTGCAGGCGTAGTTAAATATCTCCAAGCATGCATCATCTGGTTAAACAGTAAATGAACAAAACCAAAGCAAAAGACTCAATGACACACACACAATCCGTTATTAATAGTTAGCTGTTTAACCTTAGCAAGCTACAGCCACGCTGACTGTCAGTGTTAGGGATAAAAACACATAAATCAACGAGCTAACCGCTGTCTTAATTATAAGTAAAACAGTGTTGTAATATCGTGATTATTACAAAATGATAACAGGGTGTTTACCTGGACAGATGCATTCTGAAATTGGGCGTCTGGTTTCAGTTCAGCTGAGAAAACAAACGAGGAAGTACCACACAGCTGACGTCACTGAACGGCAGGGGAGCTGCGATTGGTCCGCAGATCCGGAAGTGCTGGTGTCACGAGAAAAATCTGTGATGCATCACATTCATCGAAATGACAGCAATATAAACTAACTGTATGTATAAAAAATATGTAGTATATGAAATAAGTGAATATATATTATATCTAAAATACATAAATAATAAACCCGCTCATCTCCATTTTAACTTCTATATATATATATATATATATATATATATATATATATATGATGGTGTGCTGTTATTGAGGTTGTTAAATGATGGCCCCATATTATTTAGTAGGCTAAGGCTAAATCATTTTTGATAGCCGTAATGACCCAATACAGCAGGGAGGGTCACAATTTTAAAAGCGTAAACCCAAAAATGACTAGATCTGTGCTCCTACCCCTATGGTAAAATATTCAGAAAATTGTAGCAGAAATGTCCTTTCATTTTTATTTTTTCCGAGGGGTGGGATGTCAATATTTCCCAGTGCTGCATCTGAAAGTATAAATAACAAATAATCGTTTTTTCAAGGTTGAAAGCAGCCATGAAAGTCTGCACTTTTAGAGCACTGCTAACACATATTACATCCTGATTTTTGGAAAACATCTAAAAATCATTTGAGAATATCAGACTGTGACCTTACTCTCACATTTTGCTGAATGCAAGCCAGCATGCTTTTCTTGCTTTTTTTAACCCAAATATTTGCACAGCATATGATCAAGTGGAACAAAGTTCAACACGTGTCAGTGAAAACTTTGTAAGGGCTGCTGCACTTAATGATTCAAGTAAAAAGAAAGAATGCAGTTTGGTATGTAGTCTTAATGCTATAAAAACAATAAAAATGCCAGCACATTTCAGAGCAGCACATTTTCACAAAGGGTCCGTCTATAACTTCATTAACTGGTAAAGCTCTCACACCTTCTGCTCGAATACAATCTGCTATTGCAGTTCTTAAACTTTACACTTAATGATGAACATTTGACATACATTGTTGTACTGTATGTCAAGATGAAAGAAATAGGAGTTTGTATAAAACTACTCTTTAATATCATATTGCAAGTCAATGATAAACTCTCCCTTTGTGAGGTACATTTAATATGTGCTAAACATTTACGCCTCAAATGACTAACGTAAACGATGCTTCTCTGTCTGCAGTAGTCCCTGATTGCTGATTGGTGCATATAGCTGTCATTCACTATCTTATCGACCAATCATCTTCACTGTGGGGCGTCGATATGGGCGTATACGTGTTCAGGCTTCTGATTGGCGCGGTCACATCTGAGGCCGTGTTTGATAACATTGAGGATCCTAAACACCGAGGACGGCTGTTTTGATTCAGTTACTAGCGGGTTCTTTTCAAGAAACCAGCAGAGGTCTACAGCATTTTAATACATCTACAACATTAAAGGTATGGTTCTTAGTCAACACATAATTGAAAGGTCGAGGGGAATGCGAACTTGTAGCCAATGATAGCCAACTAGCTAGCTAGTAGCTAGTCAGCCAAATATAGCTATCGTTATGCAGCTAGTTGATGCTAACGCGTCGAAACCGTCGAAACCTACTAACTTTAGCGTGTGTCCATTTGCTTTAGAACAAATGCAATTAGTATATATTATTTCTGATTATTATAATTATACATGTTTACACTAACATTGAGACACACCTATGTGGTCCTTGTGTTTATGTTATCGGATGTATTGTTAGCCCCCAGTCAGAGCTGGTTGATGTGGCCAGGGAAAGGAAAGTTTGGGGCTCTCTGCTGGAACTGCTACCCCCGCGACCCGACCACGGATAAGCGGGAGAAGATGGATGGATGTATCGTTAGCTCAAGCAGCTTTACGACATTGAAGAGTTGAATACAGTTGGTACAAGTAAAAGTACTGCATTGCAAATGTTACCAAAGTACAAAAGTATTAGCATCAAAATATACTAAAAGTGCTAATTATGCAGATTGGACCATTTCAGAATCATATATCATACGTGTTGATTATAATTATTGATGCATTAATGTGTTTATCGAAGCTGGTAAAGGTGGAGCAAATATATGTTTACTTTGTACTGCAGGGTAGCTTGTTAATTTACTCCAAATGTAACTAAAGTCTTATTTAAGTGTTGATTAATTGCAAAGTAACTTATGGTACTAAATAAATAGAGTGGAATAAAAGTCAACGATGTACCTCTAAATTGTAGTGGGATAGAAGTAGCAAATAATTCAAGTAAAGTACAAGTCCCTTCAAAATAGTACTTAAGTACAGTGCTTGAAAAAAATCGACTTAGTTATTTTACGCCGCTACTGTTAATATAAACGTTACTTTAAAAAATGAAGCTTGATGTAACTATACTGCTACATTTAGTTAGTCTACTCTTGTTGCATACATATAAGTATTTCAAGAATATATTCAAATGTTCTGTATGCATCAGGGCTGTTTGCAGGCAATACAACGGAGAATCTTTGAATATTTATGTGTTTTAATTAGGATAAGTTGTCAAACAAGAAGGTCTGGTTTCAATCCTGAATATCAACCATAGGATATCAACAGTCATCAGATCAGAATACCTTTGTTAGCTCCACAGAGGGGACATTTACGTTGTAACAGCCGAAAAGAGCCACAGAGAGCTTAATGTTACATGTTACATGCATTAAAAAAGTTAGGATATATATATACACATACATGTGTAATAGGATTATTTGGGGTGAGATTTGAAAGTTGTGAAACATACAGCTGATGTTCTGCTATTAGTAAATCTTGAGATTGTTTTCCTCCATTGTCTGTGTGTAATGGCAGAAATCCACTAACAGCTTTCGATCTACTGGAGTCCTTAAATGAGTTTGTAGCAATAGCTACAAGGTAGGCAGGCTGTGGCTCAGTGGGTAGTCCGCTGAACTTTGAATCAGGGGATAGCAAGTTCGAGTCCCACTGCAGTCAGCATGTCGTTGTGTCCCTGGGCAACACACTTCACCCCAAATTGCCCCTGAGGGGATTGTCCACAGTACTGAATGTATGCGTCTAACAAATGACATGTAATGTAATAAGTATTTTGATATCCTGACCTTTGGTAATGTGAGGTTGGAAAAACTGCAACGTCATTTGTAATGTTAAAAAAGTTCCGTATCTAATATAACTAATGGATGTCGTCTCCGTTGTTTGGACAGCAGATCCCTCTTTCTCTGCATCCAGTGCTTCTCCAGTGTTTCTGCTGTCACGGTGATGTCAGCAGCCTGTCTCATACGCCTGGCAAGGTGCAGTGGTCCTCAAGTGGGACGTAGTGGTCTTTTACAGAGGGGCCTACTCCCACTACCATTCCAGCAGGACAGCCACCTCCACTTCACCCAGAGACAGCTTTACACCCCTTCAGGAAAACGGTACAGCAACACACGCTTTGATTCAGACGGCAGTGGAACCCCAACTACTTGGGATTCATTTGGCATCTGGGACGATCGTATCGATGAGCCAATTCTGCTGCCTTCCAGCATCCGCTACGGCAAGCCCATTCCCAAAGTCAGTTTATCGAAGGTAGGCTGTGCCTCGCTCATCGGGCAACGCAAGGAGAATGAAGACCGCTACCAGGTCTCCCAAATGACCGACAGCATCCTCTACTTTGCTGTGTTTGATGGACATGGCGGGCCAGAAGCGGCAGATTTTTGTCTAAAATACATGGAGAAATACATCAAGTAGGCAAATCATCAAATATGGCTTTATCACATACCAGCCATTGTCACATGATTGCCCAGGCATACCTGTTATAGCTGATTTTCTGATCCTCAGTCTTTTGTTGTTGTTTCAGGGACCTTGTGACAGAGGAGTCTGATCTGGAAGTAGTTATAACGAAGGCCTTCCTTGAAATAGACAAAGCTCTTGCAAGGCACTTGCACTTCTCTCCAAGTGGTAGGTTCCTTCATGTTACATGTACATAGTTATACTGTGTATATGTATACACTGTGGTATTTATGTTATGACACTTTTTTCTTCTCTCCTCAAAACCTAACTTATTTATCCTACTTAGGCTTTGAAGCCTTGGATTCCCAACTGACATTAACCAAGCACTTTGGTTAGAGGTCTGTCATTAAACTCATAGTTACTGAATAACATATGAACAATAAACCACCTACAAGTACAGCCAACACTAGTGCTTCACTATTCATCTACGCATACAGAAAGGAACAAATTAAAGGAAAAACCTAAGCTACTGTCAATTCAATTCAAAACCTTTATTTATCCAGGTAGAATCCCATTGAGATCAATGATCTCTTTTTCAAGGGAGACCTGCAGCAGTAGGTTCCACAAGACATCAAAACATAAACAACAGAACAACAAAAGGACATCATACAGCAAAATGTACTGTGTGGATAGACATAGGTAATGTTAAAGTTAAAGCCTGTGTTATTGTGGATTAGTGTATAAGACAGTGTGTTCCACCAGAAACAGCAAGCGATATAATAACTTCTTTCATTAAAGGTCTCTACTTTGGTTAATATTTACTCCAACAAACCCTGAAGCTTTTTTAAAGTCCTGTGGTTTGTCAACACTTAACAAAGACACTTGTTGTTGTTTTTCCTATAATTTGTCAACTATCTATCAATCTGCAAAGTATACTGTTTAGCACAGGTAGTGAAATTAATGATGGGTACGTAAAGCATCCCTGAAAGCTAAATATTTGTCTTCATGATCATGTGGTCTACATGTTTGCCCTTGTCATATAGAACATTTAAAAATCGGCTTACATTTTCTTAAATGGCATTATATCTGCTTACGGTTATGTTATTTTATAAAAGCTAGTATACGTGTAATGTGGCCAAACATCGGCCACGCTGTGTGAAATGTCCCAATATGCCTGTGTGTGTGCATGTTATCTACGGCAGCTGCTGACCCAGCTAAGAGCTGGAGGCCCTTGGCACCAATGTGGATGGCGAGAGGCTAGATATTGAAGGAGAGTCCAGCGGGTCCTAAATCCTGGACTACTGGAAGGTTCCCCATCTTTCTCTCACTCCGCTCTCTCTCTTCATTTTCTTCTCTCACCAAGTGTATGCAAAGCTTCTTGTGAGACAATGCTGGACCAGTTGTATGAGGTGTACTGTGTGTTGTCAATGACACGTCTGGTCCATGAGATGCAGCATGTTTAAAATGCATATACGTTTAAAACAGAATATCAAATGGCTATAAATCTCTAGCTAGTGACCTCATTTGTCAATTTGGAGAGAAAAGGTCAAATGCAGACCTAAATCATGACATTTAATGCGGTTCATTCTCATTTGTCGTAACTTAAGAAATGCATGTTTAAGTGTAGTAAACGCATTACATCGGATGTAACCGTGTTGCTTTTAAGACACATTTTGAAGTCACATCTTACCGTTTGCCTGCTTTAAAAATAAGTATTACAAATTACCATTACCAAGTATTTATATTTGATATCAATTTTCTTATGACAAATACGTTTTTTTTTTCATTTGGAACTCTAAATAAATGCATGTAAACCCTCACCTGAGGAAGTATAAAAAGGATCTTGTATGTGTACTATACACTGATAAGTGTCATATCTTTAGCTCATTTTAGCAATAACTGCTGTGGAGTTAGCTGTGGACCTGAACTCTGCGCTGAAACAGTTCGACCTGCATGTGCGACTGCCCCCTCTTTTGTTTACTGTGTAATCTCCAGCCTTCTATATGACTCCCCACTCATGTGTTCATGTTTTAATGTGTGGATGTGATGATGTGATGATTGATGTGACCAATGTGAACAGTGCCTTTTTTGTGTTTACCATTTTATTTTTTATGGCACGTTCCACCTCTAATGTGACCTTTCTTGTCTCTGTAGTGAATGCAGGCACCACCTCCACCGTGGCCCTGCTGAGGGACGGCATCGAGCTGGTGGTGGGCAGTGTGGGTGACAGCCGCGCCATGCTGTGCCGCAAGGGCAAGGCCGTTAAACTCACTGTCGACCACACTCCTGAGAGGAAGGACGAGAAAGAGAGGTGAGGAGAGCTTGTCAGCACTGCAAAGTTTCTCATTTAAGGGGACATTTATCAGCGGTATAGGCATATGTACGGGCCCGGGCGCTGTACGATAGCTGCCCACTGCTCCTGGTATAAGGATGGGTTACATGCAGAGAACACATTTCACTGTGTGCTCTGCATGTGTGACCATTAAAGAGGGTTTCATCCCTCCCAATTCTATTCTATATCAAACGTATCCTTACCTCACATCATTTCTAAATAACTACCGATTTAAAGTAGATTGCAGGATCAGCCAGTATAAATGAAAACAACTGTGTGCAGGGATTTCAAGAAAACGTTTTTGCCATAATTGATCTTGAAATGGGAATAAATAAACTTTTATCTGTGATACAATCCAGGAATTAGAAGTAGATCAGAATCAGAATACCTTTATTAGTCCCACGGAGGGGAAATGTACGTAGTTACAGCAGGAAAAAGAGCCACAGACAGCTTAATGTTACATATGTTAAATATTTGACATGCATTAAAAAAAAAAGTACTAAATTATGATATAATAAAAAATTCAAAGTTACATAATTTAAAAAAATACACACCCTGTAACAGTTCTAAGGATTTAGCAGCCAGGTATATTTTACAGTTATTAACGGCATCTATATATATTGCACATAGTTTGTTGGTATTTAGCAGCAAGGGGTGATATAGTCTGTGGTGTGGTGTGTGTAGGGCAGAGGTGCCCAGTACGTCGACCGGGGCAATGCTGGTAGATCGCGAGTCATTCATAAAAAAAAAGATCCTGTTCCGTTAAAATAGACAAAACAGGTTTTGATCCCTCCTCTCTTGGCCTCCCTGCCACTTAATTCAGGAGTTTACTTGATTGACAGAAAAAGCGACCTATCGCTTTCCAGTCTGTTAACCCAGAATGCAAAGCGATACAAAATCAGTCAAGTCCCGGGAAAACTCAAATGAAGTTAAAGAGACTAACAAGAGACAAACAACCAAATGAGTGCGGGACCGAGCAAAAAGCTAAAGACATACCACTTCCACCCAGAATGGGAGGAAGAATATTTTGTCACATTCAAAGGTTATTTGTCTTATTTGTAAAGCAAGCGTCGCTCTGCCAAAGAAAGGTAACGTGGAGAGGCATTATCGGAGTGTTCACAAGGCATATGACAGCGACTTCCCTCCGAGTAGCGAGTTGAGAAAGAGAAAGGTCATGTATTATTGCTACACAAACATTATCTCGCAGTCTTAGTGTCGCCAACTCGTTTCTAACATGCAAAAACACAAACAAATGCGTCTATGGTCGGTGTATTTTCGACCTTTCCAATCCAGACGAGATCTCTCTCCCCCGTCTGTGTGCGAGGGGGCGGGGCAGTTTACACACACGCAGCTGCTTCATGCAGCAACACACGGAGGAGATGGCGGAGAGAAGCGCTCCAAGGTGTGGTTACATGTTACCCGTCTTGAAGTGGACAATGCTCCTTGCCAAGAGAGTTCAGCATGTAAGGGCGGTAACACGAGCAATGTGTCAAACATTTATCAAAAGTGCTCCACATTCAGACGGAGGAATGCACCGGGCTCGACCGTCTTTCTAGTAGCTCTCTATCCCCATCCACGAGTAACGTTTCCACGTCAGGTGTTATGTATGCTAGCAGCAACACACGGAGTTAACTCAATGATACAAACATGGGTTAATGATTAGAGGAAACTGAGTTACTCTTTATTTTGTTAAAGTTTCAGCTATTCTGTTCACAGTTCAGTCATCACATTATTTAATACGATTTGTTAAAACATTGTTGTTTCTTTTGATGCGAAATATTATTTATTTTATTTAAATAAAAAGCAATGTTAATTTTGTAAACAATTTGTTAATTTAATAATATATGTATTTTTGAATCAAGTATTCATCTTTATTGTCTTCATTGTTAGTTTCCACATGCCTAAAACAACCTCAAGCTACATCTAAAAGTTGATGGCTAAATAAGAGCGTTTGAGAAATTGTGCAAGGCATACAGTAATAGTCCGAATAGTCGATTAGTCGTTTCATTAATCGATAGATTAATCGATTATCAAATTAGTCGTTTGTTGCAGCCCTATTGTAGTTATCCCATGTATAAATAAAACGTGTTATTCAGCAACCCTTGCAATTTGGGATTTTATTTTTGGTTGGTAGACCTCGGTGAGCTGGTCATTTCAAAAGTAGCTCACCAGCCCAAAAAGTGTGGGCACCCCTGGTGTAGGGGCATACTAAACTGTCCAACTTAAAACCCAATATGAAGTATTTAGGCTTTCTAAAGTTCTTAATCCTTGTTATTTGTGGATCTGCATACTCCCTTTTAGTACAACCCAGTATATCTGTTTTATTTGTTTTTTTAAACTGTCTCTGGTGTTATGGAGATGTAACTGTTTAATGAAAAGCATCTGTTTATCTTTTTAATACTACATCTCTGTCAATCATGTACTTTTCTGTGTGCGCCTCTTCCTCTAGGATAAAGAAAAGTGGAGGTTTTATCACCTGGAATAGTCTGGGACAGTCGAACGTTAACGGCAGGCTGGCCATGACGCGCAGCATCGGAGACTTTGACCTGAAGAACACCGGGGTCATTGCTGAGCCGGAAACCAAAAGGATGACGGTAGGTTTTTAAAAGAGGGATTTGAAGCAACCTTAAATACATACGGATTTATAACAAAACAAATTACCTCAACTTGTCAATAAGGAGTCTGTAAAATTGGTTATTATATATAGGATGTTATTTAAGGATTTTATCTTGGTTCTCTTTTGAATAAATGTATTATACCTTCAATGTGTTTTTCTTATTCCTTATAAGTCAAAGTTAGACATCTTTCTAAATATAGCTTGCCTTGTCCTCAGTTGCACCATGCCCACGACTCTTTCCTGGCGCTGACCACAGACGGTGTTAACTTCATCATGAACAGTCAGGAGATCTGCAACGTAATCAATCAATGCCACGACCCCAAAGAAGCCGCTCAGAGAATCTCTGACCAGGTAAGACCTTCATCCGGAGTGAAACCAAACCATGTATGTAATAGGGATGGGAACGGTTAATCGAATATTCGAAATTATTCAGGTTTTCGAATATGAGGTTTTTTTTGTTTGTTTTTGGGAGGGGTGCCTAAGTTGATTACATACTATCAAATTGAATAATTCAATGTATATGACAGTACCATAGCTACGTGTGTTAGGTCTAAAGGTGTGTTTTGCTCCACTCACCGGTCCCTCACAGCGGGCAGAGCTGCAGGTGCTGATCTCTCCCTCTCGCGTCCGGTTATACTTCACTCGCGTTTATGTCCAAATCCATCAGATCTAGCTAGTTCTAGCCAATGATATGGCTGCTGCCCCTCCCTACACGCAGCTCACGCAGACTCAAACCTCATCTTAGGCCCAAATGCGGCAAAAATGCGCTCCGCAGCCGTTGTGAGGTTCCAGCGCTAACAGTTCATGAGCGTGCTCCCCCGCCCCCTGTCAACACTCGCTGCTTGGCAACCGTGTGTGGCGGCAAAGTACATAGACATTTTGATAGGAGAGATTTAGTTTTGCCGGTATTCAACATATTTTACCAGTCATAGTCCGGTAATTATTTACACTCCAAGAAGAGTCCTACACAACAGACATGGCGTCAAAAAGGAGTAATGTGTGGAAATATTTTGACCAGGTTAGTGAGTGCGGTGTAGAGCTCAAAACTATGCCAAATTAAACTTATATATACATGCTATACCTTGCTATAACCCGCAACCTCCATTCCAGCTGAGAGGGTCTTCTCGACAGCTGGCCTGATTGTGAATCGTCTCCGCACCAGCATCTCCCCTGGGGGGGGGGGGGCCTCATGAAATATTAGCGCCGGTGTTATGCCGTGTTGTGCATGCCCACCTCGCGGGAGCGCGCCACAGCGTAAAGCATAAACTCCCCTGACATTTCAATGATTTGTACAGCAGTTAGGTCTGGAAACGACATAAGGGCATAAACACCGGAGCTCTGCTGCGGGGAAAACTTTGGGGCTGTTCTGAGTTTGTTCTAATCCGTCAAAATGACGGACTGCTTTCAGATTTTTCCGTCATTGTCAAAAGAATTCCGTCATAGACGGAATATATTCGGTTAACGCGACCTCTGGTTCTTACACTTTAGGCCGATTTACTCAGATTGGTGTGTCCCGCCCCGTCGTGTCTTTTCGGCCGTGCCGACACCTTCCGCCGCCGATTCGACATGTTGAATCGGTAGGCTGTCGGCCAAAGGCCGTCGGCTAAAGAAATCACTCTGATTGGCGGCTGTTCAGCTTAGCGAATCAGTGCATGAGAAGCGAAACGGGGACCCAAACAAACGATTAAGAAGGCAAATCTGAGATTTCCTTTAACTCCAGCTCTCGACACAGGTTCGGGAAAGCCCCGTGAGCTTCTCGCTGTAGAGTGAAAAGGGAACGCACACGCTATTTGTTGTTTTGTTTATATCACGCAGTCTGTTCTTCTTCTCTCGGTGTATAGTCTGTCTTCCGGTTGTTGCCTCTTTTGAATGACGAATACACACTACCCCCGCCAACTGCTGGTAAGGAGAGTTATTGCCACTCACACAATGCGCAGTTTCACACGTGCTACTTGGCCGTCGGCTGGAAGTCTTTGCGGTGTGTTCCAGTGCGACTGTTGGCCAAGACGCAGGAGACGTGAGGCGACACAACAGTCGGGTCCGTCGGGACGTGTTCTTTGGTGTCAGATTGGTGTGTAGGGGCCTTTTTTAAATGAGCCCTAATGAATACAGTAAAACATGTCCGTGACAATCCATGCTTTATGGACCTGCTGGAGGTCGTCTTTGGTCTCAGACAATTGCTCCAAAATGTATGTGCAAATACTAGACGGCAGACTTTTGTACGATTTGTTAATGTTTTTATTTACATGATGGTCCTCTTCTCTCACAGGCCCTGCAGTACGGCTCAGAGGACAACAGCACGGTCATCGTGGTGCCCTTCGGAGCCTGGGGGCGGCACAAGAGCTCGGGCCCCAGCTTCTCCTTCAGCCGGAGCGTGGTGTCCAGCGGGCGCTGGGCGTAGTCAGGTTGGGGTCTGCGGATCTGGTCAATGTGTGCAATACAATCCAACAACAGTACCCTTGTGGAAATATTATAAAAAGTGTGGTTTGCCCTAAAAAATGTATACAATAGGGTAACTTAATATTATTTAGAGTAGCATGATGTGAGCCTCCTGTCCTTAGAGGCAGTATTCATGAAGTGCACTAAATGAAAAACATCCTCTTTATAAAAGGTTTTATCTCACGCAGGCCAATGACCTTATAGACGCTGAAAGCTAAGAAGAGTTTGAGTGGCAGACAGGAGTTCCCGATGACCTGACAGCCGTCTCCTGTATTTATTTCGCCTGATCTGAATTACCTGAGATTTGAAGACTGCTATCCTGTCAGTCTTTTAAATTGTTTTAGCTATAATGCCCAAGTTTGCACTTTTTATTTTCACAGTTAATTTGCAATTTAAACAAAAAAAAGTGCTTCTGATTGTACCAGCTGTTTTTAAAGCCAGCAGTCTTTCTGTTTCTCAGTGTGAAGGGATTGGACTACATGCACAGATAAGGAAAATACAATAATGGAACTGCATTTTAGGGATGCATGATATGGATCGTTTATCAATAACCGATAAATACCTGCTTCTCACCGCAAATGCTCATAACCCAAGCAATATTTCTGGTATTGTAAAAAAAGCAGGTTTTGCACACCTGAGGATAAGAGAGGCTAAGCAAAAATAGATCATTTAATTAATGATGATAGATCTTATCTATCAGATCATAGTTGTTGACAAACAAAAAACAACCACCACTCTTTTTTTCTAGTAAAATACATTAATAACTTGTCTTCCTCTGAAAACCGTCCAAACAACATGTTTATCTCTTTAGTCCCAATGTTTCTATTTTCTCTATTCAGCATTCTGCGCTTCTCCCCTCTGTTGATTGGCCGATCTCAAACACACAGTGTCAGAGTGTGTACATGCTGCACTTGTGAAGTCTGTCAAAGCAATAGAGTGCCTAAAACCCGGAAGTTAGCATTTTACCACTTCCGGTTCCTTCGACAAAAAGCAATGCAATTTCTCCATAGGATTTTGGAAAATAGCTCGAAATAAGGTCTGTGGTTGACACAAATTGAAGAGACGTGTCTACCCTACTTTTAAAATGTTCAAATCATAAATCTAATCGATGGATTTATGATCGATTAGATTTATGATTCGAAAATTATAAAAGTAGGGTAGACATGTGGATATTATCCGGCTGAACAAAACCTGATCCGTCTCTTAAATGTGTTTCAACCACAGACCTTATTTCCAGCTATTTTCCAAAATCCTATGGAGAAATCGTATTGGTTTTTGTCGAAGGAACCGGAAGGAGTTTACTTCCGGGTTTTAGGACGTGGCACTCTATATAGCTTTGTCTTATTGGCTAATCATTTATCAGCCATCATTTTATTTACAGAATGAAACATAACAATATACATTTCCCGTCATTAGGGGATTATCGGCCTGATTTATATCGTGCATCCCTAATTAATTTGTCAATTGATCTGATTTAATTTAGCCCTTTTTATATCCAAATGTACTTAAATGTACATAGAAAGGTCACGACTTCCGAAGCAACTGGACAAAAAGCATCCACGACCAAAATAAGTCAGAGGGTAGGTCTTGAATACGTCCGTTCTTAAATGTTCTCTAATTGCACAATCGTTGAGAGAAATGAACCCAGAATGTTCTGTGATCTAGTTTGTGCTTAATGCTATTTATATGATCAGCATTTCCATGGCGCATATAAGATATTCTTGTTACCAAGCTTGTATAAGTGTTAATATTTCTATTAAGAAACGGTATTTTAAGGGCACTAAGATGTGTTCAAGGTACAGAAATGTAAAGTTTATGTTTTGTAAATAATTATATTTATGTACAGCCGTACAACGTAATAACTCGTCATATCAGTCACAAACGCAGGACCTTTGCTTCAGTTTCATCTTCTTTGTTGGTTGTAAACTTGTCATCTTCATTTGATGTGTCACTCAGAAAGAGTAAGCACACTTAATGCAACGCTAAGAGATGTTCAGCTGAGAGCCATGTTCGACCTAAGTGAATGTTTGCTTAACTTCGCTCCTCCACTCAGAAATATCACTCGCACCCTGCGGAGTTCAGGAGTCTAAGCTGTAGGTTGTCCTGGCTGATGTGAGGGGATAAGTGTCCGGGGTGAAGGGTTAGAGATCCACTGTTCTGTCCACTGTTGATCTTTAGTTCTGTGAGAAATGCAACGCTCATATCTATCGTCATTCTTCTACCTGTGACATTTGTAACCTTCAGTTATTTTCCTCCAACACAGCTTCAAATGTTATGTAAACTATCTTTCTGACTCGTCCTCCATACAAACCTCATCTGTTACACATGTAATCACAGTGTGTTCGTTTTTTTCCCCTGTTTTTGGTTTCACTGCCCTTTTCAAATACAATCGTTGTATCCGGGACCTAAATGTGGACTTTCCAACACGACACTGTTAGTACTGTATTTTTGGTCCTCAATGGCTTGTGACACAAACAATTAAAAACTAAACAAATAACAATGTGTTCTGTCTTTAAATCTTCTGTGTGTTGTACGGCAGGAGTGTCAAACTCAAATACACAGAGGGCCAAAAGGTAATTAGAAATTATCCCTGCGGGCCGAAATTAAATCCACCAAGGGCCTGATTTGGCCCCCGGGCCTTGAGTTTGACTCGTGTTGTACGGAGAAGTACAGATACGAAATGACTCAATAAATAAATCAAAATGTGTTAAAATAAAAACATCATAATTAAAATGCAGGTTAATTTCTCATCCAATAAATTATAAATATTATCTTTTTATAATAAATGTTTCCTTTTTAACCTGTGCATTTATTTGATGATTGAGACCATTTTTGTATGTATTTCTTTTTTTCTGTGTATTATTGTATATTTATTTGTGTCTTGTGAGTATTTGTGAAACTGGCCATTTAAACATTTAAGTGTGATATTTCAAAGTAAAGAAAAAATGTAATGTATGACATTTAAAAGTCAGCACATTTTCCTTCTTGTCCATTTATTCTTGGAGTGTAAAAAGAAAGGTGTCATGGTCGTCACTCTGATAGCCAAAAAATGTTGTACTGATGAATTCAGCCTGACAGGCCGACTGGATTTATGAGGACGACATACTCCAGCGGCTAAAGAAGTATTCAGATCCTTAAAGGAATGGAGAAACCTTCAGACTTCCTTACAGAGCCCCTCCTCCAACACACACGAACGCGCACATGACCAATGAGGGCACGAGATAAGTTTGTGCACAGATGGAAGGCTGACAGGCAGGTAGGCCATCCAGTTACTTTAGCCGGGCCGGCTCAGATGATTGGTCGTGCTTTTTACAGCGCATGGCTTCCACAGGGACAATTTTTAATGTATTTATTATCAAAGCATTTCATATTATTGCTATCGGGATGTTAAGATCATTCCATGGAATATAACAAAAAGTGTTTCTGAAGTGAATTACCTACCCCACCTTTAACGTGAGTAAAAGCAGAATTCCTACACTGAAAATACTATAGATTTGGCAAAAGTGTTATCATCGACTCCCTCTGTAGTTAAATGTTCCCGTTTGGAATGATGTTACAGGTGCATCCATCTTTATGCAACACAAAATACTGCAGTAAACGCATTTTGAATGTTTTAAAGGTAAGTACAAGTATGTTTGTGTAATCAGGAAATATTTGAAAAGTTTCAATAGTAGAAGTACTCGGTTAAGAACATTTCCTTCGTGATTGATAACATTTATTTATATATCAGATATATATATATCTCATGCATTAATGAAGAATCAGGATTTGACTGTTGAGGTCAGTCAGTCAGAATACATCTTTTCGTTTTTATTGATTAATCTGCTAATTCATTTTTTCTTGTGTTTTTTAAAGAGATTGAATGATTACAGGTAATTCTGTTTGTAAACACGAGAAAAGAAACAGTCACTGAGAGTTCAAAGTGACACCTTAAACTCTTGTTTTGTCCAACCGGCTGTTTAGACGGCAACAACATTGAATTACTTACATTTGATATACAGCTGGGTAGTGGTGCAGTAAAGAGGACAATATTTCCCTCTGAGATTTTAGTGAAGTAAAAGTTATTTATTTTACTTTTAGTCCAAACATGCACTTTGTTAAAAATGCAAACCCTTTTTTTGTATACATATTTTTAAAAATAAGACAAAAACAACATGACCTGTTGTTGCCGTTATCTAAAAACTCTTGTTAAAGTTACACCACTGGAGGATAGTCTGTCTCTGTTTAATCCCTGTCCTCTCTCTCTGTGTGGTGTATAAACGGTTAACATTGAGGGTCCCAGCTGAGTGGAAGCACCTGTCCCCCCCTCCGGGTGCCCCCCCCCCTGCTCCTCAGTCTGCAGCAGCGCTCCTCTGAAGCTGCAGCAGAATCACAGCAGCAGCCGGTGAGTCACAACCAAACTCTTCTTTTTATTTAAAAACACCATGGAGCAGGTGATCACTTTCTGAAAAGCATGATTTATTTGTTTTAGTTGTGCTTCTGCACGACTTAGTTTGCGTAATAGCAGTTGGAGCAAGAAGAACATTATGTTTTAGTGTTAAAAAATCTAAAAACGGCATGTATTAAAATGAAGTAGTGTGAGAATCTGTGCTATACACAGGATTTGACCACAGTGATGTGATCTGTGCAGTGGTGAGAAAGTGATTACAACTTGTATTTAAGTAAAAGTATTAATACCTCACTGTAAATACTGAACTTGAAGTAAAAGTCCAGCATTCAAAATCTTACTTATGTGAAAGTACGAGTTAAAAATGTACTTGAAGTATCAAAAGAAAAGTACTCCTTCTGCAGAACCATGACATTTTTCAGGCATTTTGGCAATCAAAATTAGAATTCATTATGCATCATATATTTTGAGCTCTAATGTGTTTTTAATGTAATCAAATGAACAAAAATAAAGGTTTCTCATTCTGCAGAAAATGGTCCCTGTCGGTGTTTTAATATGAAATATTATTATTCAATTTTGATGTTTTTGGATTGATATAACTGATGTATAATTGTCCTAACTTTGGTCTGCATACTGAATTTTACGGTCCCCATTTGAACGAATGTACTGTTGTTGGGCAGTTTAATCTACAATTTAGAGATAATTTGTAAAAAGAAGATAGCATTTGTATGAAGAACAATGGAAAAAACTTAATTAAATAAAAAAGCCAAAGAAATGTCTCTTGTGATGTCATTTTGAGATGATCTATTTATGCGTAGTTCATGTCTGCTAAAGAGCAGCCGTACAAATAGTTTTATGAAGATTGCGTGAAACCCTGAGATTCACACACTGTTGTTTTACATCAGTCAAATATGTCTTTCTCTCAGATCACGGTCCCAGGATGATGGAGAGAGCCAATCACATCAACATTGCCATGATAGAAGACATCGGCACTAACGGGACGGTGGGGTCAAAGGTCGCCCCCGGCGCGGAGCAGAGCCCGAAGCAGGCTCCACCGTCAGCTTCCACAACGTGCGCTACAGAGTGCAGCTGCAGAGCGGCTTCGTCTGCCGGAGGAAGACGAGCCACCGGGAGATACTGCTCGACCTCAAGTCAGTCCTCAAAACACACACGCTCTCAATCTGTCTGTCTTCTGTCAGTTAAAGCTGTTTGTATCAGCTTTGGAAAGAGGAAAGGTATATGAACTGAAGTTGTGTACTGACTGAGGG